GAGTGATGTGAGGCCGAGTGCCGAGTGATGTGAGGCCGAGTGCCAAGTGATGATGCCACGAGGTGGCTTGATATAGCGCTTGGGCTGTAAGGGGCCCCTCTGGAGTCTGCACACCCACAGTGAGCGCGGGTACTCATTGTTCTGAGTGATTGATACTATGTCCGAGGGGCTGATATGAGTGATTGTGAGGTAGCCCGAGGGGCTGATACTATTCTGAGAGTGAGCCCGAGGGGATGTTACTGTTCTGATATTGAGCCCGAGGGGCTGGCACTGTTCTGATATTGAGCCCGAGGGGCTGGTTCTGTTGATATTATGCCCGAAGGGCGGTTTGTTGTACATGTTTTTCCCGAGGGGCTGTTTACATTTCTATCATTTTTGTTATTCACTTGTAAACTACTTGCTTTACTGGTTGGAAGAAGGGATTTTTACTTGATTTCTCACTGCTTTACTGTTTAAAGTGATTTTACTGCTTCAGTATGGAATGCCTTGTATTTTTACGTAATTTCTTGCCTTCAGTCTTTATTTATTATTATTACTCACTGAGTCGGAGTACTCACAATACTCCCTGCACCGTGTGTGCAGATTCAGGCATAGCAGAGTCCGCACCTGAGCGCTGATTCCTTTCAGGCTAAGCAGTGATTTGGAGTTACGAGGTAGCTGTTGACGTCCGCAGCCCCTTGTCCCTCTTATACTCTATCATTTATGTTTTCTTCAGATTGTTGTATCGGATTCCGTACTTTGTTAGACCTATAGCAGATTCTGTTGTAGCTCATGACTTGTGACACCCCGGTTTGGGCTGTGTCGGGATGGTTTCCACTGTTGTTATCGTTAAAGGTTTCGCAATTTATGAATATTATATTATATGTTATTACTATTTATGATGATTAACTGTTTAAAAGAAGTGTTCCGTTTTGATCTGACTGGCCTTGTCTTCACGAGAGGCGCCATCACGACCGGGTTCGAGGATTGGGTCGTGACAACTAACCTTGTCCATGTGTTTATTGGCTATCTTAGCTTTACCTTTCCTATGGAAAAAGACTGTCATCCATTCCCCTATTTGCTCAGTTTTGGATAGTGGTGTCTCAATGTCTGATTGGCCTCCCTTTGCTTCAGTTGGTAAGGTGACTTGCGTACAACGCAGACTTATGTGTCCCAGCTTGCCACATGTTTTACATATGATATCATCACCTTCGTATAAAATAGGTTGTTTACGTTGGCCAATTAGAAGGTAGTTTTGTACTGTTTGGTCGAGAGGCAACTGCACACACAGTCTAGCATATCTCCCTCTTAACGTGGCTGAGGTGCATGCATCTACCTTGAGAAATTGTTTTAGAACAAATTATGAGGAAAATATTCAAAATAAATTCATTATTAAATGAGATGTAATATTAATAGAAACTCTACTTTTCTTTCCACTTTAAACTTTTGATTTTTTCCTTATACATGATAACCCTTTTTGGGATAACTAGCCCTTTTTCTTTATTTTCTTTTCAATCAATAGATTTTTTACTTTTTTCGTTGTTGTTATATTCAAGAACTCAATGTAAAATTAAGACTTCCGAAGTGCAGTCACTTTCAAGTGCATTTGATGGTAACTTTGAAGTATTGAAGGGTGATATAGTGTGACATGAAATAATTTTATTCAAATTCTATTGTAAATTCTCATTCAAAAAGATTTAGAAGCAAATATATTTGTGCCTTTTTCTTTAATTGTTCTACTTGGCTAAATTATTATTGGTATTATATTAGTAGCCTGATTTATATAAATAAGAATGCAATTCACCATTTCTCACGATTCTTCATTTTTTCAACAAAATTCACTCAAAAACAATTATTTTTCTAATGTCATTTGTGTTCTTCCATAAAATCGCGCAAAGCACGGATTAATTTACTAGTATAAATATAAAGTTGGGAATAGAAAAGATGATGTGACATGCTTCTTTAAACAGTATGATAGTTTAGCTTTTTCCTCAGATTTTTTATCCTTTTTCTTATTTTCTATCAAAAAAATGCAAAAAAATCTCTTTGTCATTATTACTCCTTTTATTGCTATTCATCAAATCCATTTCATCTCCCTTTCTTCAGTTTTCTTTATGCTCATTATTCTCTTTACTCCCTTTTTTCAAATTTATCTTTCTTCCTTACTTCTCTTCCGTTTTTTCTCCCTCATGATTATTCCATTTATTTTTTTCTCAAATCCCTCTATATCCATTTTCTTAGAATATATTTTTATTTCTCTCTATAAAATCCAAAGCCCTAAAGGCAGGCATAAGACAGAGAAGAAGCCAGTGTTGGAGAAACTCTCCGATGATAAAACTATAGCAGGGAAGAAGCCGAAGGTTGTGAAAATGCATCTCAAAGATTATTTTTTTGTGCTGCCATCAGCTTTTTGCCTTCTCCCCTTATTTGACTTTTTTTTTTTTTTTGCTTTTAACATTTACTTTTTCTATTCTCATTGATGTTAGTTGGAAGTATTGCGCTTTGTGTTTGAGGCCTTTTTCTCCTTGAATTGTTGGAAATTGAAATATCTATTGTGCTTAGCATGTTATTCTCTGGTATTATATTTATTGTAATTTCATTGTTTAATATTTTAGGTTTGGTTGTCTTTGAAGGTTAATTTTGTTGCATTTGGATTATTTTGATTTTGAAGATGTTGTTAGAGCTGTTTTGAAATTAGGATTTTGAGCAGAGTTTTGGTTATGCTGAATTTGCTTGTGATAAAATAAAAACATGCTTCACATACAAGTCTACTTCCATAAGAAATAGAAAAGAATATTAAATGGTTTATTATTTTCCTCCCTTTCCCATCTCTTTTCTTGCTTGATTTTTCAGTTAATAAGTGAAGTTTTTGTCTCTACAAAATAAATTCGAGTAATGCATAATTTATAGTAAAACCTTGGCGGGTTCATGCAGTAATAATACGATGAATGGAATGTGAGGAATTTAAAATATATTTATCATACATTTCTATTAGTACTAGCTACATGGCAGAAAAAGTTTAATTGTCATCATAATATTGTGGTAAAATTTTAACTTTTTGGAGTGTAATAACAACTATGGGAGTGGGGAGGTGAAAAAATGGAAATAAAGAACAGCACAAGAGTGAAACTAAAAGCTATAACATGAACTTTTTTTTAATTTGATTCAATCTTAACATGGAAACTTGGCATTGTTTGTTCTTTTTATCTTTTTTACTTTGAATTTTGTTTTCCTTAAAAAAAGAAAACTTGAGATAACGAAATCACATCTTATATCATGTGTATAAAAATTAGATTTCAAATAAATGGGAAGAAATTCGAACATACAACATGAACTTTTTAGTTCAATTTTGTCTTTAAACACGAAAAGTTGGCATTGTTTGTTCTTATATTTTTTTCCTACTTTAATTAATTCATTTTTCTACTTCGATTAGTTTCGTTTTTCTTTTATACATCATATATTGTATGTGTAAGAATTGGATTTCAAATAAAAAGAAGAAAATCAAATAACAAGACGTCCATTAAAAAATCATTTACTCAAAAGCATATAAATTAATTTATACATCGGAATTACTATTTGAGAAAATTTAACCAAATATATCTGCTACAGTGTTATATAATAAAAACATTACTATACTATTTATAAAGTTACTAGAAACGGTTAATGCAGTTCTAAAATTAGTAGAAAATAATTAACTTTGCCTTCTATTGTCCTAGAAGAACTAAAGTAAAATATTAATCGAAACCTAATCCCTTTTATTTGAGAAAATGTTTTAGAACAAATTATGAGGAAAATATTCAAAATAAATTCACTATTAAATGAGATGTAATATTAATAGAAACTCTACTTTTTTTTCGCTCACTAAACTTTTGATTTTTCCCTTATACGTGATAACCCTTTTGGGGGTAACTAACCCTTTTTCTTTATTTTCTTTTCAATCAATAGATTTTTTACTTTTTTCGTTGTTGTTATATTCAAGAACTCAATGTAAAATTCAGACTTCCGAAGAGCGTCACTTTCAAGCGCATTTGATGGTAAGTTTGAAGTACTGAATGGTGATATGGTGTGACATGAAATAGTTTTATTCGAATTATATTGTAAATTCTCATTCAAAAAGATTTAGAAGCAAATATATTTGTGCCTTTTCTTTCATTGTTCTACTTGACTAAATTTTTATTGATATGGTATTAGTAGCCTGATTTATATAAATAAGAATGTAATTCACCATTTCTCATGATTCTTCATATTTTTCAACAAAATTCACCCAAAAAAATTATTTTTGTAATGTCATTTGTGTTCTTCCAGAAAACTGCACGAAACGCGGATTAATTTACTAGTATTCGATATAAGTCGTCTGTCCATTTAAGAGTCATTCAATGTGAAGAATCGTACGAAGCCGTTCATCTCACAGTGGCAAAGACTAATCAGCATATTCAATCTTAGTCCTTTCAAATCATATTCATGTTTCACCAACAAGGGTTGCGGTGGAGTGGTAATTACTCCTTCATCCTTAATCAGAGGTCTTGAGTTCGAGTTGGCCTGGGTATGGAGTCACCTTTGTTAGGGATCATTTTACCTCCTATGTGAACCTTGTGAGACTTTCCAGCACAAATCCGATTTAATCGAGTCCCAATGTGAATACATGACACTAGGTGAGAGGAAAAAAGATTATGTCTCAATGATGCTAATTCTAAGTATCACCATCACATGTTGAGTGACTTCTACAAATTTCTCAAAAAATTTCCCTATTAATACACATCCTATATACTCAAGTTCCAGCCATAATCCAACCCCAAAATCTATTGTGTATTTCATCAAGAAAACATGGATTTGGTCTTATCTTCTCTTCATCTCCGATTGATATTATTCACTCTTCTCCAACTAATTGTAATCCAAAACCATCTGTTTTGCAAAGCTGATCCTACTGATGGTTTCACTCCAATAACTCTTAGCCAAAGCAACTTCCAAATTCAAAAGCCTTACGATGTGTCTATAAATCAAAGGTATTCCTTCATCAATGGAGTCCATAAGATGTGGGTTTTCAAGACAGACAAGCCTCATACTCCCACTAGCCAAACAAAACCTCGTACTGAAATTCGTATAACGGTATGTATCAATTAATATTTTACATTAGCTGTGATCCGTTATATTGTTTTATACTATATATATATATGGCTTTTGCTCTATGCCTAAGCTAAAAACATGTATTCGAAGAAAGCTCCATTGGTTCGAGTTGATGTTTGCTTTTTTCTCGTGAGTTACTATCACAAAATGTTACTGTCTCGGAGTCAGAATTTTCAACGAGGGAAATCAAAATATAAAAAGTAAATACATAAATAAGTAAGGGGATTCAACATATAATATATATTAAATTTTTTAACCTAATTAATATACAGTGTAATTTTCCGATATAGGGGTGTTAAAAAAAGTCCCATTATCTAAACTTTTAATGATCGATTATTAACGTTTATTAATTTATTACATTTTAGGGACATGATTATTCATCGGGTGTATGGCAATTTGAGGCATATGGATATGTTCCAAGTGGTACAACTGGTGTGTCAATAATGCAAATATTTGGAGCATCAACTTCAGCCACAACCTTAATGCTAAGAGTTTACAACGGGGACCTCACTAATGCAATTGAACCTTGTTGAATTTGGCAAAACCTTTTGTCCCACATCGGTGGGAAAAGAAGGGTTGGGGGGATTTTCCCCCTATAAAAGAAGGCTTAATATTTAGGATTTAAACGTACCTCTCATTTGCCTTCTCATCTGTTTAAGGCATTTGTATCTTCTCTCTTTAGTATTATTTCACTTGTATTTTTGGAGTGAAATAAAATATTGGTTGTGTCCGAGGAGTAGGCAAAATTAGCCGAACCTCGTAAATTCTGGTGTTCCCTTTATTGTTGCTTTATTGTCTTATTTATTATTTGGTGGCTGTCATAATATTTGGTATAATAGTTGTGACTTATTCACACTATATACANGATTTTCAAGAAGGAGAATATGGAATTATTCACACAGCGGATAACAGCCCTCTTACCTCATATGAAATTGGTTCAATACGATTAAGGAACCACGATGGAATGATCAGAACATTAACAGATGTTCGATAT